AAAAACTGTCAGTAGAAAATAACGTCAGTAGAAAATCAGGAACTTTTAAGACCAGCGACTCCAACCTTTGTCCAGGTCTCTTTTCACTATGCTTCCCCATAAATCCCAGATTTTGGATTTTTAAAAATATAAGTCTATAACTAGTAAATAATATTGATTTGTTATCTTATGTTTAATTAATCAGAGATTTACAACTATCAGCCAAAGATTCTTAGGTGCATAAAATAACTGAATAATTACGTAAAAAATTCTGATATAATTACAACTAAAGGAAAGATATTTATTGTTTTAAATATCCTACATAACTTTTTAAAAGCTAAGCTTCAATATCTGTTAAGTTCTTTGAAAATAAGAATGTTTCAAGGAGCCTCATATTGCTATCACAAAGTCCCCAACACTTTAAGGATTCCAAATTAGGAAACAATGAACTAGTTTGGTTTAAAAGCCACTTAACAAATAGGGTTTATTCTCATCTGAAGAATTAAACTAAATTATTTGATGTACCATAACTGTCCAAAAATTATAGTAGAAAAAATCTTGGGGCTCTTTCAAATATTTTTCCTCTTGTTTTCACTATCTCCATCAAAACCATTAGTTGATTTTGATATGGCAGGATTAAAAAGCATCCAGAATGTACTCACCTGCCTGATTAGTTGTGATGCTGACTGCAGCAAACTGTCTTGGAGGTGAACTCAGCTCTGACACCCCATTAACAGCATCAATCTCAAAGGTGTAGTTAGTGTGTGCCAGAAGGTCTGTCACTGTCACCGTGGTGTTGGTGAGTCCAAACTGTCGAGGGAGGAAGCGGACATTTGGGCTGCATGGCTCACACTGTTTCACATTCCACCCACATTTTTTACATATGATGTTGAAGGTAACATCCTTCCGGCCTCCTGTGTCTAGGGGCCAACTCCAGTCCAGGATAACTGAGGTCTCGTTTATATTAGAGATAACATTTCTTGGTGCAGACGGAGGTCCTGTAAAGTAGTTCAACAAAGATTAATGAGCCTCATTTCTGTTTTCTGCTACAAGGGAAATAGATAATTTACAATGGAACTGAAAAAGGTAAATAACCATCTTGTCTTTATTATCTACTCTTAATTCATCCTTAGAGGGCCCATGACATTATAGACACATGGATTCAAGAGCACTGTCCTCCCCAAGATATGAATGGGGAAGTTCAGAGTCAAGGCTGAGGATGCACTCACAAAATCCCACAAAGGACGTTACCACTAAATTCAATGCCCTTGTGAGTAATTATGAAATCGTTAGTATTAGTTTTATAAATTTTAGTCCTTTTTCCCTATAACCTATGACCCACACACAGCAACAGGGAATAGAAATGTAAAAACATAAATCCCACACCTATAACCTCCCTTACCCTGTCAAATGCAATCCAAGATCTAAAACAAGATAAGATTTTTTTTCCTTTTTTTCTAGGGGTCTTGTTGCAGGAATTGCCTTAAAAACTCATTCATACTGTGTGATAAATGTTGCATTTGTGGTGATGCAAGCATGGAGACCGAAGCAGAGAAAGCTTTCAATTTGCACATGGATAAATGAAGGAAATGGGCCAAATGGTTAGAAAAAAAAGAAAAGGAAAAAGGACAATAACAAGAAAAATCAAAACAAAACCAACATGGAGGCATGGGTTGCAGCAAAACTACTCACGGGTACAAGCCATGGATGGAGGGTCTTTGTCTGCTCGGAAGTAATTATTCTCACACCTGCAGTTCATTGAACCATCTTCACGCGTAGAACTGTGAGGTGGGCACTTAGCGCACTTCGTATTACCAGCAGAAGCCTTGTAGAAACCCGGTTGACAAGCTAGAAACAAAATGACGCTTTTAAAATTTCATCATGATTTTGAAAACATGTTTTGAAAATACATAAAACAGATTTCAGGGCATTAGAACACGCACTCATTATGAAAACAAGGAATCCATTTTTTCCTTCCAGAATTAGAGAAGCAAATAACGTGGCCCAGCGTAGCTATTTCGCATATACATTTGAACTTGCACCAAATGTTAAGCTGGGTGGGGGGAACCTACAAGATTTAGATTATTTTGGCACTCGTGTATGATGAAATTTCTAGCTCGTGTTTTCACAGCTTTACTTGGCATTGGACTATTTGTGGAAAAATAAAGCAAAACCATGTCACCGTGTAGTCATTGCTTATTTTAAACATGATGCAATCTGGATGCTATCTGCACTGAAGTTACCAGCATACACTAATTGCTCTCTGTGTGTACAACCTTTTCCCCACAAATGGTAAGCAATGAAGGAAGAAATTGTGGGTTCACCTGTATTTCAAGACTCTTGATGCACAATTCTCATGAGCTATGTTCCTTTTTTTTTTTTCTGCCTTGCCAGAGTGGTGCCTTAACTTCTATAGCAAAGGTCTAGAATCATTTAAATATATTCCCTCATTTATATTTGAAAACCAGAGGAAGGTACAGTTTCTATTTAAGTGGAGGTAGTTGTGAATTGTTACTCAATGAAGGCTCTTTTCATAACTCTATGTTTTCTACCTTCTTTCACGCCTTATCTCTGAATGACGTGTTTTCTGCGACTGCTTGTTGGGCGCTGGTTTAAATGCTATATTGAGATTTGATGGCTTAAAGCACCTACACCTCAGCCCTGCCGATTATGTTTACCATCATCACTAAACGCATTCCTGAAGATAATGCAAGTTATAGCCATAATAATATACCTTCCTATTGAAGTCTCCTGTAATCAGACAAAAAAATATATATACTGCCAGGAGATATATTCGAATAACTTAAAATAATAGCAATCATCCTCTATCATTGCTATTTTCTAATACCGAGACAGAATGGCTGTTCTAGGACAATTTTACATTGTATTGAACAACTTTTCGTGACACACTGAGTTTCCTTCAGATAAATTCCACTGCCCTAACCAAACACAGAATAAGAATATAAACTTTTTAACACTGTCTTTAAGTCAGGAACTTCCACTTTTATTCCATGTCATAGTGCCTCGAGGGGAAATAATATAAAGTACATAAACAAAAAGTGCACTTAACTTCTGGTTTCAATTTAACTCATCTTTTAATACTTTTAAATTTGCAAGGGGCCACTCTGAGTCTTTAAAAGATTAAGTTTAAGTGCTGCAATGTTCTTTGTTATATTGTTTGCTTGCAAGTTTATCTGTGTGTTTTTATTAGAGGCTTTTATGGTTTTTAACATCATTTCTTATAAAGGCACTCACTAAATAGTCACTTTTCGTTAATATTATAAACGGCTACACTGTGTGAAAATTAATAAAAAGAAAATCACTTCCTTTTTTTGAATATTTCACTGTGGTCCAGGTGAAAGTTTACACAGCAAATTAGATTCCTGTTCAACGATTCATACACAAATTGTTCTGTGACATTGGTTACAATCCCAGTAATGTGTCAGCACTCTCACCATTTCTACCCACGCCTGCCCTGTTTCCATCCATCCAGTCTTCCTGCCCCTCCTTGCCTTCTCATCTTTGCTTTTGTGTAAACGTTCATCACTTGGTCGCCTATGGTTGATTGTTTAAAGGAGCGCATTCCTCACGAATGTTATTGTTTATTCTACAGGCCAATCTATTATTTGCCTGAAAGGTGACCTCCAGGAGTGGCTTCACTCCCAGGTTAAAAGGGGATCTTAGGGCGATAGCCTCAGGTGTTCCTCTAGTCTCTACCAGTCCAGTAAGTCTGGACTCCTTCATAAAGTTCAGCTTCCAGAATATTTGCTCAGCATACAGATTGAATAAGTCTGGTGAAGGGATACAACCCTGACACACACCATTCCTGATTTTAAACCACACGGTATCCCCTCGTTCTGTTTGAACAACTGTCTCTTGATCTATGTACAGGCTCCTCATGAGCACACTAAAGTGTTCTGGAATTCCCATTCTTTGCAATGTTTTCCATAATTTGTTATGATCCACATAGTTGAATGCCTTTGTATAGTCAATAAAACACAGGTAAACATCTGGTATTCTCTATTTTCAGCCAAGATCCATTTAACATCAGCAATGATATCCCTCATTACACACCCTCTTCTGATTCCGCATTGAATTTCTGGCAGTTTGCTGGCAATGTACTGCTGCAATCATTTTTGAACGACCTTCAGCAAAATTTTTCTTGCCTGTGATATTAATGATATTATTCGTTAATTTTCATATTCTGTTGGATCACGTTTCTTTGGAATGGGCATAAATATGGATCTCTTCCAGTGGGTTTGTCATGTAGCTGTCTTCAAATTTCTTGGCATAGATGAATGAGTGCTTCCAGAGTTTCATCTGTTTGTTGAAATATCTTAATTGGTATCCCGTCAATTTCTGGAGCCTTGTTTTTCGGACTTCTTCCTTCAGTACCTTAGGTTCTTGATTATATGGTACCTCCTGAAATGTCTGAACACCAACCAATTATTTTTGGTACAGTGGCTCTATGTATTCCTTTCATCTTCTTTTGATGCTTCCTGTGTTGTTTAATTTTTCTCCCATCCAAAAAAAACCCTTTACCGTTGAATCGATTCTGACTCATAGCGACCCTATAGAACAGAGTAAAACTGCCGCATAGGGTTTCCAGCGAGCAGCTACTGAATTTGAACTGCTGACCTTTTAGGTTAGCAGCCAAACACTTAACCACTGCGCCACCAGGGCTTCAACATTGCATCTCAGCACTTGAATTTTTTGTTCAGTTCTTTCAGCTTGAGAAAAGCTGAGCGTGTTCTTTTCTTTTGGTTTTATAACTCTAGGTTCACACATTTCATTATAATACTTTACTTTGTCTTCTCCAGCTGCCCTTTGAAATCTTTTCAGCTCCTTTACTTCATCATTTCTTACTTTCCCTTTAGCTACTCTACGGTTCAAGAGCAAGTTTCAAAGTCTCTTCTGACATCTTTCTTTCTTTCCTGTCTTTTTAATGAC